GGCGGCTGGTGGAGGGACCTGCCAGTGGGGAGGGCGTTGGATGTGTGGCCCAGCATCTCTGCAGATCGTCTGTCTCTTCATGCCTGAGTTTCCCTCCCCAGAGTCCCAGGAAAGAGCATCACCACACACTTGCGTGCAGATAAGATAAAAATTTTCATTTGAAATGAAATGATGCCTTATATCAGGAACTGAGTTTATAGATGAAATTCTGTCTTAGTGACTCCCGGGGTCTGCTTCTATTCCGGTTTGTACGGTGGGTTTGGGGACAGTAAATACTGCAGGAAATAAGCTGACTTTCCTGGGGATTGGGGAAGCCTCTTGCTCCTTAGAAACGTTGGCTACAACTTTACTTTGGTAGGAGATCCTATAACCGCCATCCTGCTCATTCTCTCTGAACTGTAAAAAAAAAAAAAAATCATAATTTATTGCAAGTTTTTGAAAAGGCTAGTGTTGTTGCCCTTTGAAATTTTTCTAGAAAGCTTGCATTTCACAGCAAACTAAAGAATTACTTGGAGCGCTGTCACCTGAAGTGTGGGCTCTGAGTTCACAGGGCTGCACCCCCTCATGCACAGGGAGGAATCTGAACTTGACAGATGCCTTCAACAAGCTGGCTACCGGGGTGGAGGGGATCTGCCCCACAGGGGGCGCCTTTTCCAGGCCTCCCCAGGGCACTGGGTGGTCCCATACTCACCTGCACACTCCTCCAAAGGCCCCAAATCTGTGCTTCAAACACTTCCCTGTTTCCCTTTCCCCAGTTGTTAGGGAGCGTGGTTGCTAAGGAGATGTTCAGTGTTCCCACTTGCCCCGTCACTGTGCACCGAGCAGCGTGGAGGCTATCTCTTGCCTCCTTCTCTCCATAAAATGATAGGGTAGAGCCAGGCGGGCGAGGTGATGCCTCAGACTCCAGCTCTCGGGTCAGCTTAGCCCGCCCTACGCAGGCTTGGTTCAAATCCTGGCGCCCCCACCGCGGGACCTTGGGCACTTGGCTTACCCTCTCCCAGGCTGTTTCCTCACCTGTAAAATGGGGATAATGGTACCTTCCTCCCCTGTTGTGTGGATTATTGAGGTTATTAATATGCATTCGGGACCCGGCACAGCTCATAACAGGCTCTCGACGCCTGGTTTTATTTGATGTGCAGGAGAAACTAGAGGAGACGGCACAGCTCATAACAGGCTCTCGACGCCTGGTTTTACTATTATTATTGTACATTATGGATTTCTTAAAGCATTTCTACATTATCTTTGTTTTTAAAAAATTCTCCTCTTAAAATCTACAGTGGGGAAGGTTTTATTTTTTTTCATTTAAAAAAGCACCCTTAGTATGTCCCTTACATTTTTTTTGCCAAGCCCTGAGGACCCCGGTTTGGTCCCAAGACCTGCCTCCCTCTGAGAACCCAAGTTTGGGCAGCCCAGCCCCTCCTGGCGGGGACCCTGCAAGCTGGTGGCTGCAATGGCTGGTCTGCTCTTAGTGTTGTTCCTAAACGTGCTGTTGTCTGGGCTTGCAAGCCTCTAAAACTCCTGGCCCGCCCTCCCTGCATACATTAGCCTTAATGTATTCTCTCTTGAATACTCATCATATTAAGGGTCCCGCTAGATACCTTGCTCGAAATAAATTTTATGGGCATACATCCTCGCCCTCATCCCCGTGCATTTGCAGCCGGGAGGAGAAATATAGCCGCATCTTTCCTCCCAGGCAAGGCCAAACAACAATTAGGTGGGAATCGGCGGCCTCTGGCCCCAGACCCAGGAGGTGCGGGGAGGGAGCAGGTGCCCCCCCTCTCCCCCCAACCCCCGCTGGGGCTCGCCCAGCACCCGGAGGGCTGTTCTCTGTCTGGTTCTCCAAGGGTGAATTTGCCTCCGATGGCCCAGTCCCTGGCTCCCCAGATCCAGCAGCAGGCGGTGTGCCCCGGGGTGACTGCCAGGCACAAGGGGCTGGTGCTCACAGGTTCCTGCTCTGTACCCATTCGTCCCCAGACCACTTCCCTGAGCCCTGAGGGCTTCTTGGTTAGAATTTCCCTCCCCTCTCCTGCAAAATGAGGCCAGAGCCATCTCCCTGACACTCCCTTCCTCAAGCCCCAGGCCCAGCAGCTGCAGGAAAGACCCTGCCTTCTGGCCCAAACCTTTCAGATGCTCTTCGCCTGGGATGTCTGTCTCTCCCCCGCTCCCAGGACGTGCTGCACCACAGGAGCTGCTGGTTATGCACCTGTCACTCCTCATAGTCTCACCTGTGTGTATCCAAATCTCTCCGCTCCCAAGGCCTCGCCCAGCCACAGCCTCCCTGGCCACCCTGGGGATCCTGGTAATTCCTGGAGAGAGGCAGGGGTGTGGTGGAGTGAGCAGCCCCCAGCCTTGCAGAGCTGCTGTGTGATGTGGGTACTCTCTGAGCCTCCAGGTGAGGGTCATGACCTCCAAGCAGGGGTCCCTGGGAAGATTCAATGAGATCAAGCCAGTGAATGTGGTTTCTAACTTTCCTTTCCCCTTTGCCCCAGCGGCACCACATCTAACACCCGATTACTGCAGTTCTCTCCTAATGATAGCAAGCCCTTACTGAGCACCAGCTGTATACACGGTGATTTGTTTAGTCTTCACAATAATCCTATGAGGTACTATGCCATCATCACACCCTACCCCCCGCCCCCACCACTTTACAGGCGAGGAAACGGAGGCAAAGTAATTTGTTGAAGGTTATAAAGCAGGGCCAGGATTCAAACGCAGGCCGTCCAACTCCAGAATCCGTGGTCTTACCCTGCGTGCTCTCTATCCCCCTTCTCCGATGGAGATTCCTGTAGTCACCATGTGCTTAGCACTTTGCTGGGCACATCGGAACTCCTTGGTGAGCAATTGTTGGTTGAACAATTTCTTTGTCACAGAGAAAACCTTTTGAGATAGAAAAAAATCCCCATACAACCTGGGACCGGTAGCAAGTGTCCAGTTTTCACTTGTTTCACCAAGCGTGACCCCGGTAGTTTTCATGGTGTACTTGGTCTGAGAATGGGGTCAAAGGGCACGGCATCGAAGGGGTCTGACTTTCAGGCAAATGTTGGTGGCTGCCAAAGCCTTGAAGGGAACAGGCTGGGGTCGGGGTTTAATGGGGTCCAAGACTGACACGTGTGTACAGGGCTAGTGATGGCAATTTAGTGACTGTCCCACCGCCTGGGTATAAGTTTTAGATACAAATGACTTTCTACTTGAGAAAGCGTTCTCCTTCCATAGTTTAGATGTTTTCAATTTTCTCCCAGTGCATTGAGGCTAATTCCCATATGTTAACACTTTAAAATTATGTCACAACCAACAAACATGATATGAATCGAGAAAACCGTGTGATTCATGAGAGATTTGGTTTGTTGACGTTGGGGATGTGCAGGAGAAAGTAGAGGAGTGTTTCAAGGTGAGCTTCTGAGAGAGGATTTGATCAATTATTTATCCCTCGATTAACATCTGTGGTGGTGTCCTGTGTGCCAGGCACCGTGCTAGGCTGTGAGTTTACAAGGCGGAGAAACACTGGTGCTGCCCTTTGAGAATCCCACCTTCTAATGGGAAAGACACCGTGTAAACAGATAATTAGCAAAGGTCCTATTTACAATAGAGGTGAGAAATACCAGCTAAATGCTTGCACTTTTATGTGTTTTTGTTGTTAATTTATTGCCTTCCCTTTGGGGTGGGGAGGGGGAGGGTCTATTTACTCATCCACCCATGGAAGCCTGACCATCTTGTCTATTTTGAAACTGCTTCATTGACTCAAAATCCCTTGGCAAAGGTGAAATGGAAGAAAAACAGACCTTGGTTGGGCAGTGGTTGGGGTTGAGTTGCAGACAACAGAATCCACTTTCACTATCTAAGTGGAAAGTGGTTAGTTACCTGATATTAGGTCACTTGCATCTCAGTGGAGCCATGTGTGGGCCAGGCTTCTGGGAGTAACTCCCAGACCCCGGAATTTCCTCGCCTCTGCCATGACTGAGCAGGACATCACAGCCCCCGACCCCCAGAGCCTCTGCGTGCTCCACACCTGCACCAGGGCAGCCTGCCCAAAGGCTGTGCCTCCATTTAACTTAGTTCTCAATTCAGGCCCCCCCCCCTTTTTTTGGTTAATCCTCACCCAAGGATATTTTTCCATTGCATTTTAGAGCAGAAGGGAGGGAGAGAGACAGAGACATCGGTCAGATGCCTCTCTTTTGTGCCTTGACTGGAATAGAACCCGGGACCCTTTAGTCCATGAGCCAATGCTCTATCCACTGAGTCAAACCGGCGAGGGCCAGGTCCCTTTTAAGTACATCTGATTGGCAGACTCTAAATCACAGGTGGAACCTGAGCTGCAAGGGAGCCTGGAAACGCAGTTTCTGGTTTGTGGTCTGCAGCCCAGGAAGGCACGTTAGGAGGGATGTTGTTGGAGCCAGTCCCTGGTATCCATTGCAGCTCATTAAAACACTCCCAGGAGATCCTCTCAAGACACTGAGATTCTCCCTCCACAGACACCCTCAGACCTGGGCCTCGATCTCTACTCACCCCCTGCACAAGTCATCTGGTTTTTCCGCCCGATGGTCTCTCAGTCCATGCCTAGGGCTCGCTTTGGCGACGATGTTTTTAGCCCAGATTCCACCCAGTAGTGAAAGTGTCATGGACATAGAGGAGAAGGTTGCTGGGTCTTCCTGGCCCGCTGGCTGTGAATTGCAGCTGGCGTAAATGGGGGGAGCCGATGCTGCTAGCCTTGTGGTGCCCTTAGAAACACAGAAGACGCCTTTGGGCCAAAGACACCCAAAGCAGGACCAGCAAAGCATGGGTTGCATTTCAGCCCCCTTGACCAGAGGTCTCTGTGTGGTGTACGGCCTGCACAGCTGCATGCGGCAGCCCTGGAGGCTGGGTTCTGTCCTCCCCCACCACTCCCCCCCCCCCCCGGGGGGGGGGGGGAAACAAGGGGGGAATGAGAAGGCGTCCACACGGGCCCTTCTGGTGAGCGGTGCTGCGCGGAGGGCTCACGCTGCCTCTCTCTCCTCTCCCCACAGAGATCCCCCAGTGCGCTGGCTGCAACCAGCACATCCTGGACAAGTTCATCCTGAAGGTCCTGGACAGACACTGGCACAGCTCCTGCCTCAAGTGTGCAGACTGCCAGATGCAGCTGGCTGACAGGTGCTTCTCCAGGGCCGGGAGCGTCTACTGCAAGGAGGACTTCTTCAAGTAAGTCAGAACCGGGGCGCAGCCTCCCTGAGCTGGCCTGGTCTGTCTCTGCCTCGCGCTGTGCAGTCGGTGGAGGGAGGCAGGAGCTGGAAGGGGGGCAGGGTGGGAAGGGCAGTGGGTCCATCCTGGGGGTGTGTGAACCCTCCTGGTGAGAGGCTGCTCCTCTGCGGTCCCCCTTTGGGTCACCAGCCCCATCGCTGCCGGAAACCCCAGGGTCCCCACCTCACTTGAGCTGCCCGGGGAGCGTGCACCAGGGTGGCTGACAGAGGGCTCCTGCAGATCCTCAAACGCTCTCTCTGTCTGGGAGTTGGTGCTTTAGGGCTCTTGGCTGTATCATTCCTGCGGCTTTCAGAGCAGGTGTGTTGAGAGCCCCGATTCTAGATGAGGCTGCTTCACGGGCCTCGGAGGCCTAGAGGAGTTGTCTCTGGCAGGGGCCCCGCTGGGCTCCTTTGGAAGAGGCAGTTTCATGTGATGGTTAAGAGCCCAGACCCTGCCTGGGTTTGAACCCACTTATTAGTTGTGTGCTTTCGGGCAAGTTGCTTCACTTCTCTGTGCCTCAGTTTGCTTACCGGGAAAGTGGGGCTGATGCTAATAGTCCTGCCTCTTAGAGTTGTTCTTCAGCTTTGACCGAGTCCGTCTGGGTGAAGCCTTGGGTTGGGACAGTGTCTGGTCCCTGTGTGAGCTCTTAAGACTGCCTTGGTTTTTCATTCTGATGTTGGGTCCATCAGGAAAATTCCTGTTGGAGCTTTGGGTCAGGGTGGAGGGGACCTCCTAGAATTTATTTCCGTGGCATTTAGGCTGGAACTTCTGCCCCAGGATCTAGTACCTGAGGCATTAGGCTGGTGCCTCAGCGGATATGGACCAGCTGATAACAGCAAACAAGAACAGGAGGTGGGGATTGTCCATCAGTGACATTGGGCCCAGTGTCAGGGGGCCCGTGGACGGGACTGGGACTGTGAGGAGGCTCGCCAGGCGAGCGAACCCCGGAGGGGTGGTGTGCATCCTTCAGAGATTGTGCGTTCTGGGGACAGGGAGGGAAACGCCGGTCCCGGGAACAGAACACGATTTCTCCCAAATCCTCCCAAAGCTTTAACTGTGGGGAGTGAGTCATTTGAATTTCCGAGGATCCCAATGATTTTTGTGCAATATGAGTTGGAAAGTACATTAAAGATCCGCTTGATAACTACTGGGGCTGCCTGTGTTCAGAAGGCAGCTCTCATTGTCCATTAGCATCACACTGTGGTCAGATACGCGCTGCTGTCTCCGTGTGTGTGTGTGTGTATCTGCGTGTGGGGGCAGTAGCTGGCACACCCTACAGATCCTCCAGCTTAGAGATGGGCCTCTGGTTCTTCATCTAAGCCTTTCGTGTGTCCTTCCAGCCCCCAACCTTGTCTTCCTTCTCCTTCCCCGCCTGTGGCCCTCGCCTTGCTTCCTTTGTCCTGGCATTTACGCCGTTCCTTCCCCTCTACCCACACCCTTTCTCAGTGGACAGCAAGCATCTGCCTGTCTTCTTCCCTCAGCGATGTCCTGGCCAAGCACACGGCTGTTCTTGCAGACGCCTGACGGGGTGGATTTCATCATGTGCGTGTGTGCATGTGTGCCATGTACCTGTGTGCACCTGTGAACAAGAACGTGTGTGAGGGAGGATCTAATTGAGGGAGCAGGGGATGGGTGAGTTGTCCCCGCTCCCATAGCCAGGGCGCCATCCTCCAGTTTTTCCCTTTCCCTGCGGAAAGCCCAGTGAGCTGAGGGAGGCAAGAGGCCCCGCCACCTCCCTGTTCATCTGGGGACAGGTTGGCACTGAGGTGCCCTGGCTCAGACCTCTGGCTGGTCCAGCTGGGCAGGGCAGGGCAGCCCGTGGGGTGCAGGCAAAGCCTGCCAGGGACACAGAACCAGGGCTCTGTCCATAGAGAAGCTCTTTTGAGCCCCAGAATCACCCTGGGGCACCATCTGATGTTTCGACCTTGACTGGCTGGTTCCGGGTTTGGGAAAGGGCGGTAGCAGCTGGGGGCAGTTTTGGGTTTGGGAGAAGTAGTGATGAGGAGAGAGGGTCCCCCTAGACCCAGGAGAGGCTCAGAGTGAAGGCTGGGGAGGGATTAGCACCGGTTTACGGGCCACAAGCTCTTGACCAAAAGTAAGCTTGACACCCAGCTGGTGCCCTGCCTCCCTGCCTCCCTGGCCTCCCCAGGCCATGGCCCTCATTTGGAGTCTTCCCAGGCCTTGCTCAGCAGCAACCTCCTGACTGACCCCCACCCCCTCTACCCCACAGACTAGCGTCCTACCTCACAGCTCAGGTCCTGACCCCTCTCCCCCAGCTCCTCAGGGCCCCCTCTGCCTACAGAGTATTCCAGATGCATCACACCATCAGAGCCTTCTGCCCTGTGCCCACCCTCCCTTCCAGTCCTTAGCTCACTGCTTTCCTAGGTACGAGACCCCTCCCGCCCCCAGGATGCCCCCTTGCCCAGGCACGCTCTGCATTTCCCCACCTCCACGCCCTGGCTCTGCTGTCTCATCATCCGGGGATGATGTTCATCCTTCCAAGGTCTGCCCATCTTCCATGGCTGAGCGTCAGCTCCTCAGTGGGTGGGAGCCCCTGGGAGGCATGGCCACCCTGTCCCTCCTTTCTCCTGGTGACTCAGCGGGAACTGCCTTGTTTTGCTCATTCCTCATGCACCTGTTTGAGCTTCCTGTGGACTTGAGGGAAGGCTTGTTAGTCGATCATTTTTCTGTCCCCCATATAGTCACCTGGCCCCAAACCTTGCCCATAGGCTGTCAAAGAGTAGATCGCACAGTGAATTTACAACCACTGCATGGTGTCCTGCGAGTCTTGGAGGCCCAGGCTACCTGGGAAATGCACAGACCCCTTTATTTAGCACAGTTATTGTTCTTGTCCCATGGGACTGCCCTGCTTCATGAAATGACCGAGTCTCAGGGGCGGAGCCTTTTGTAAAGCGGGGGAGCTGTCCACAGAGTGGGTGCTGATTCCAGGTCATTAACCCTGTGATGGGGTGCTGTGTGGAGGGAAGTGGTCCTCCCCACTGCCAATGGAGGGTCAATCAGATGCGAAGATCGGGCAGCTCTGAGGCCCCCCAGGGGGACACGTGGATTAATAGGCAGTCGCCCCCCCCCCCGTTCTTTGGGACCGTGGCTGTTTGGTACAGGGAGACACAGCTGCAGGCAGAGTCCCAGTCCCAGGGAGGACGGAGGAAAGGAGTTGCTCAGGTCAGAGTGGCTTCACCTCCCACCAGGGGTCTTGGGACCCACTTCCCACTTGGGGCTCAGGCTGTGACTTGGCCACAGAGCTGGGTGCTCTGCTCCTCATGACAGCTCCTTAAATGTCCCCTGGCCCCTGCTTTCCCATGGCACACTGGGGCACATGTGCAGTGGGACTCTGTGAGCAGAGAGAACGTGAGGCGGGGAGGAGGAGCAGGGCAGTCTCTGGAGCCTCAGATCCATCCCTCATCTCACACTGGCTGCAGGAACTGGTTCAAGTGCTGGGCGCCCTTAGGCAACTTCCTTGACATCTCTGAGCTCCACTGCCTTCTTCAGGAAAAAGGGAAATGCTACTGGTGGCTGCTTTAGAAGACTTGGCACGCTGGAGCATCTCACTCAAGGGAGGTTTTTTTTTTATCATCAGAGTGGTTTGGGGAACCCAAACTCTGCACCTTGCACCTCAGACAGCTTTCAGCTGTGGGTTTGGAAGATGCCTGGTGAGAGCCAGGGAGAATTCCTTCTCTGTGCTCCTTAAAGTTAAAGAGAATCACGGCTGTAATGTGAAGAGTGGCCCCTGGATGTGTGTCATAGCTCAGACACGGGGTGGGGGGGAGGGGCGGGGGACGGGGGAGGCCAAGGGGAAGCTGGAGATTAGCTTTCACCTCTGGGAGATGGGGTAATACTGACGACTGGCAGCAGAGGGCGATGTTGATGTGTCACAGACAGAGAAGTGCGATATTGTGGAAGGTTGTACGCTGTGGTTGTTGCATTTTTCTTTGGGGGGCGGGGGGCGTTGAACTCTCTGGTTCAATAACATTGGCTCATTTGTGCTGTTGTTTGTTGTTGTTACTCCTCGGGTTCTTGGCTCCCCTTTCTCCAAAGGAAATAAGATTCGGAGCCTGAGAGGAGAGCAGTGTGGTTTCAAAGCCATGCAATTTCAGTCGCAAGCCTAAGCGCCAACTCCTTGTACTGCATTTGCTGAGCAGGTCCTTTCCGGACTGTGTGCCCAGCATGTAGTGGGTCCCCTGTCTCCTTGCAAAGGAACTCAGGGTCTGGGGAGGGCAGGGGTCTGAGAGTAGGGCTTCTGGGTCCCCTCCCGGCAGCTCCCTTGCTCTGAAGTGCAGTGAAGACAGGACAGGTTCTGTGCTGCAGGAACTGGTTCAAGTGCTGGGCGCCCTTAGGCAACTTCCTTGACATCTCTGAGCTCCGGCGTCGTCTTCAGGAAAAGTGGGGATGCTCATGGCGGGTGCTTTGGGAAACCTGGCAGCTGGAGCACTTCTCAAAAGGGAGGTGTTTTACGAGCAGAGTAGGTTGGGGAACCACTCTGTTTGCTGAATCCCTGTCCTGACTTTTACTAGCTGTTTGTCAATAAAAAAGTGCGTAGGCCCTTCTGAACCTATTCCCTTATCTGTTAAGAGGCACTCATTCTCACCCACAGAGTTGCTGTGAAGTGAGAGGATAGTGAGTAAACCGTGCCCAGCACAGGCTAGGTGCTGTATCTGTATCTCTGGGTTTCTGGCCCTGAGTGGCCACTTGACCCACAGCCCTGGGAGGCCCGGCTGTTGGAGTCCGTCCGCAGTGCTGGGCCTGCGCTGGCTTCTGACCTCTTCCTCCTCCCCCAGGCTTGAGACCTTCCCATTCAGGTGACCTTTAATGACCTAGAAGCCCTCAGACAGAGGTGGGGGTAGCCTGGCAGAGTGGGGAGGGCAACAGCCGTGTGCTGGGGTAAACCACGGGGTAAAGATACCATGTGGATTTGCATGAAGGCTCGGGAAACAAACCAGCGA